AAATGGCTGGGTTGTATAGTAGGTGTATGCATAAGCTGCCAACTGTTTGCCTAAATGGATTGTACTATTTTAGCTTACCACAAGCAATATAGGAGAGTTTTAGTTGCTCCATACCATTGTCAGTTTTTGGTGTGGTCAGGGTTTTTCATTTTACCTATTCTGAAGTGTGTGTATTATGTCATTATGGTTTTAATTTGCATTTCTCTAATGACTAATGTTGAGAGCATCTTTTCATGTACTTATTTGCCGTCTGTATGTCTACTTAGAGAAGTCTGTTTAAATATTTTTCTTATTTTTAAAATTAAGTTGTCTTTTGCATACAATCTTCTGTTGGATATGTTTTACAAATACTTTCTCCCAGTCAATGGCTTGCCTTTTCATTTTCAGAAGTGATTTTTGAAGAGCAAAGGTTTTTTATTTTGGAGTTCCATGTATCAAGTTTTCTTTTATGGATTGTGCTTTTGTGTGTCAAATCGGAGAATCTGTGAAATCCAAGGTCACTTAAGACTTATTCTATTTCTTTAAGAAGTTTTTTCTTTAATGATTTTTCCTATGATTTCTTTAAGAAATTTAGTGTTCTGGCTTAAATTTAGGTCATGATCATTTGTATTTTATTTTTGTATATAACATGAGGTAAGGGTAAAGGGCCCATTTTTTTTTCATCTGGCTATCCAGTTGTTCAGGTGCCATCTGTTGAAAAGATTGTTTTATTCTCATTGAGTTGCCCCAAACCTTTTACAATCAACTGACCACATCTCTGTGGGTCAGCTTCTGGACTTCTCTGTTCCATTGGTGTATTTGTGTGTCTTATATACCACACTGTCCTTGATTACCTTTATGAGTCGTGAAATCAGCCCTCTAACCAGGTAGGTAAGCCCTCTAACCTTGTTCTTTTTCAAAATTGTTTTGGCTATTACAGGTTCTTTGCATTTTCTTTAGAATCAATTTGTCAGTTTGATGGACATGAAAGCCTGCTGGGAATTTTACTGTGTTTGTGTTAGATCAGTGGATGAGCTTGGGGGGGTGGGGTGGGAATTGATATCAACAATAATAAGTCTTTCACTCATAAGCCTGGTGTATCTCTTCATTTGTTTAGGTCTTTAATTTCTTTCAGCTGATTTGTAGTTTAGGTGTGTAGGTCTTCCACTTTTTGGTCAGATATTTCCTTAAGTATTTCATAGTTTCTGATGTTATAAATGGTGTCTTAAATTACAGTTTTCAGTTGTTCATTGTTAATGTTTAGAAATACAGTGTTTTCGAATGTCAGTCTCATCCTGAAGCTTGCTAAACTCCCTTATTAGTTCTAGAAGCTTTTCTGTAGATGCCATTGGGTTTTTTATATAGATAATTGTGTTGACTATAGATAAGGACAGTTTACTTTTTCCTTTCCAATCTGGGTGCCTTGTATTTCTTTTACTTGCCTGACTGCACTGACTAGCACCTTATACAGTGCATTGTTGAATAGAAAAGGTGAAAGCAACATACCTTATACCTAATCTTAGATGAAAAGTAATTAATCTTTCATTTAGCTCCCCTTAGTTCAACACAGTTCCTTTTTTCCAGTTCAGTAGATTATAACTGTTCAGAATACTGACATTTTGTTAGTTGATTCCTTTATTATTATGAAATTCCCTTCTTTATTTCTGATAGTTATTTCTCTGAAATCACCTTTGATGTTGATATAGTCATTCCAGCTTTCTGTTTACTAACCTTAGCATTGTTGATTAGCATTAGCAACCTTTTTCTACCTTTTTACTTTTGATATGTTTCTGTCTTTATATTTAAATTGGTTCATGTAGGCAGCATATAGTTTTATTTATATATGTACAATTTAGTGATTGCTTTAGGTTTATATCTTTAACTTAGTCTACCTTTAACTGATATTATACCATGTCATGATTCATGGTTTTTGCTTCTACATATATTAAGCCCCCAATATATTATTACTTCTGTTTTAAATTGCCAGTTATCTTTTTTAAAGACAGTTGTATAGAGCTAAACTCACCATACAATTCGCCCATTTTGAGTTCACAATTCAGTGGATTTTAGAGTGTTCACAGAGTTGTACAACCATCACACAATGAATTTATGAACATTTTCATCACTGCCCAAAAGCTGTCATTCTTTATCCCCTGACTCTCCCCACCTCTCCCCTGCTTACCTAAAATACTTTTTGTCTTTAGATTGCCTATTCTGGGCATTTTATAAAAACAGAATCATGCAATATATGAACTTCTGTCATTGGCTTCTTTCCCACAGCAGATGTTATCAAGCTTCATCCATATGAAAACATGTTATCAGTACTTCATTCCCTTTTATTACCAAATAATATTCCACTGTGTGGGTATACCACTTTCTGTTTATCAGTTGATGGACATTTATACTGTTTTCACTTTTTGACTGTTATGAATAAAGCTGCTCTGAACATTTGTGTGTAGGTTTGTGTGGACATACATTTTCATTTCTCTTGGCTATATAATCCCCAAATGCATATTAGGAGTGGAGTTTCTGGGTTGTATGGTAACTCTGCTAACTATTTTGAGGAAATGCCAAACTGTTTTCTAAAAAGCCTCCACCATTTTACATTCCCACCAGCAGCTATGTTCAAAGGTTCCAGTTTCTCCACATCCATGCCAAAACTTGCTTGTTCTTTTTTTTCCTAGTGGATAAGTGGATATCTTTTAAAGACTTTTTTTAAATGAGAAGTTTTTAAAAGTTTAGATATTTTAAAGGAGAAGATTTTACATTTTTACTATTTCTGGTGCTTATTATTTTTTTATAAATCTGTATTTCATCTGCCATCATTTTCTTTATGTCTGAAGAACATCCTTTAACATTTTCTTACAGAGCTGGTTTGCTGGTGATAAATTCTTTCAGCATTTGTATGTCTGAAGAAAGTCTGTTTCACCTTTATTCTTAAGTCTTTTTCTTTTGATACTTTAAATACATTTGACCCACACTCTTCTGGTTCCCAGTGTTTCCAGCAGCATGCTGCTGCTGTTCTTATATTTTGGTTTTCTGCACATAAGATGTCTTTTTTCCTTTGGCTGCTTTATCTTTTTATTCTTGATTTTAAGCAGCTAGATTATGGTGTTCTTTCATATTTTCTTCATATTCTGCTTAGGGTTCTTGGAGATTGTGGATATGGGGGTTTATATTTTTCGAAAACTTGAAAAAAACTTTGGCCATTAATTATTCAAATATATTTACCCACCCCAACCTTGGTGCTCCAAATGCATGTATATTAGGCCACTTCATGTCCTGAAGTTGACAAACATTTGTACATATTTTCTCAGCTTTTTTTCCATCACTTTTATTTTGGAGTGCTTCCAGCACTATGTCCTTATATTACCAATTTACTACAATATCTAATCTGCTGTTAATCCCATCCAACATACTTTTCATCTGAAAAATTGTATTTTTCACATCTAGATGTTTGATTAGCTGGTTTTTCATGTCTTCCTACCTTTCCTTCCTGTGGTTACACTTTCTTCTACTTTTTGAATATGTGGAATATATTCATAACAACCATTTTAGTGTTCTTGTCTAGTTCTGCCATTTCTGGGTTGATTGATTAATTCTAGAATTTGATAGATGTGATTGATTTTTCTCTTTCTTGTGGGTAGTCTTGTCTTGTTTTTTTTTTTTTTTGCATGCTTCAAAGTTATCAGTTGAATTCCAAGCATGTATTTTACTTCGTTTGGTGTTGAAGATTTCTGTGTTCTTTTATATGCATAATTCTGGAATTTGTCCTTAGATGTAGTTAAGTTACTTGGAATCTGTCTGCTTTGGGCTGGCCCACAACAGCCTTTAATCCAGGGCTGATTTAGCCTTACTACTGAGTCAGTATTCTGAGTATTTTACTCACTGCTCCATATATTAGAAGGTCTTTTCTATTCCAGAGCTGGTCAAAACATGGAATATTCCTTGACCTGTGTGATCTTTGAAATTGTTCTGCATGCTTCTTGAAGGTGGTTCTTTTCGCAGCTTTGGGTCTTTTCCTTATATCTGTGATCACTGTTAAGGTAGACTAAAGAAGAACCTTCTGCAGATTTTTGGAGTTCCCCCTGTGTTGATCTGTTCTCTCCAGTATTCTGCCTTGTGGATTCTAGTTGTCTTGGTCTCCTCAGTTCTGAACTCTTGTCTTCTCAACTGAGGGAGCTTTTAGGCCCTATCTGGGTTCTCTCTCTGTGGCTGTAGCCTGGAAACTGTGGTAAATCTGAGGCAATTTACAGAGCTGATTTTTTCTTTCTTTTCTGAAGGACCAGTGTGTGCCGCCTTTTGTCCAGTGGATGAAAACTAATATTAGTTACGGATTTTGTGTGCTGCTTTAGCTGCATAGGGTGAGAAAATAAATTATTGTTATTGCATCATAACTTGATGAACAAGTGTGCTGCCTAGACTCTCCAGGATGTCACAGAGGCACCTTAGTGGGCTGCCTTTGGAGAGAACCAGTCTCCTTTTCCTACACAAATTAATGAATGCTTTAAAGGTACTGTTCAAGAAGTAGTCACTTGTCACTGGCTGCTGGACAGGTTGGGAAGGTCAGGGAGCCTCAATCCACTGTGCAGAAGCATTAATCATTCTGACGTCATTTTTATCCTCATTTCCCCTCCGTATTATTGATAAGACTATCCTGTCACCTACTTCAGGGGAAGAGGGAAATGGCCAAGCATGCTGCCCCAGGCTCCTTTTTCAACCTTACCTTTTATATGTATCATGTAGTGTCAGCTCTTCCCTAGTAAGTATTACCTCATCAGGTATTGGTAACAGTGTATTGTGATAGTTAATTGCATTGGATTATAAGACTGGAGAATTCTGAAATAGTTTGTCATCAGCAAAGGTTGAAAATGGCACAAACTTTTTAATTTAAAAATTTTAGAATTTTAAAAATTATTTTCAAAAAGCTCCATCTTTATTGCCTTTTAAGTGGGGTGCCTAGTGTTTGGGTTAACTCCCTTGTGTTACGATTACTTCAGTAACAGTCTATTATTTTTCAGTTATTCAAGCGAAGAAATGTTGCTACAGCAGAAGAAGAAACAGAAGAAGATGTTATGTCAGATGGAGGCTTTCATGAGGCTCAGATTAATAACATGGAGATGGCACCAGTAAGTAAGATAATGAAAGAAACTCTTTTTAGTGTTTTTCTGAGAAAGATGGAGGCTTAGATCTCTTTTGGGATTTAAAAAATAGGTTGGCTACAAAAAATTCTTGACATTTCCTTTTTTTTAAAAGAAGCCATTTACTTAATCTCATGGTTCATAAAATGTTTATTATATTTTGAATAACATCTAGTTAAAGTTAACAAATTATGAAAATTCAGCTATTAAAACAAAGATGATATAATTAAATTATTCCTTAAAAGTTGAATAACAAGGGATACTTTAAAAGAAATCTGAATTTGTTACTCATTTCTGTTACAAAATTGGACATGTTTATGTGATTTAAAATTGGTTCACATTACAATTCTTGGAATTTTCTATTGTAACCCATTTTGTAACTTTCTTGAGGTTACATAAACATTAAAATTATGCTGTATTTATAAGATTATACCTGTCTAGATTTCCAGTTTATTATAATCAATCATATAATGTTTTAATAGATCTTATATATATACATGGTTTTTGAAACACATTTCTTTTACCTCAGTCACTGAATTTCTGTCTCTACTGGCAACCACTAATAGAGTCTTACTAATTTTCAAGAAAAGAAATACCCCTCTTTTTTTGCAAATGGTGGAGTATTATGCACAGTATTTTATAGATTTTTTCTTTTTTTTACTTAATAGATCTCCGAATTTTATGACTCAGTTTCCTTTGGATTTAGAGAAGCAGTTTAACCTTTGGAACCTATATAGACATTGTAAACTATCCAGTCATTTTGTGTGAATTCTTTTAGGCCCTTAGTCAAGCTGTCCATTTTTAAAAAGTGGCTATTAAGTGAATATGAAGTATTTTGTGGACTGTAGTATTAGCCAGGGTTCTATAGAGGAATCTACCAGTAGGAGAGTGATTGATTGATTGATTTTAAGGAATGGGCTTGTTGGAGCTGTTAAGTCTGAAATCCATAGGGCAAGCCAGTAGCCTGGAAATTCAGATAACAGTTGATGTTATTTTGAGGCTGAATTCCTTCTTCAGGAAACCTGTCTTTGCTTTTAAGACCTTCAGCTGATTGAATGAGGCCTTTCCACATTTTGGTGGGTAATTTGCTTTACTCAAGTATACTGATTTAAATACTAATCACATCTAAAAAATAACTTTCACTGCAACATTGAGACTGTCCTGGTAGTTGGGTACCATAACCTAATCACGTTGACACAAAAAATTAACCATTACAGTTCACTCCTTGTCAACCTGGCATCCAAACACAATTCATTAAACTAAACTGAGTCTCAGATAAAGACACTAACAAAGTCATACCTACATGTAACATGATGTAACTCCCCTGCATACAACTGAAAATGCACTAACCTTTTCTCCAAAAGAGGATACAAAAAGTCCTTGGATGATGTTCATACCTCTCTTTGATGTCCTGTAACTTAAATACTATGGTGTAAAGTTAACAATACTTAAATACCGTGAATGTAATGCCAGTACATCTATGTTAAATGGTAAAGGGGGTTAGAGTGGGAAGAAAATGTTTATGTATGTATATATGTATATGTGTATGTGATGTATGTGCAAACATTCATAACAATTACATGGATACCTTTATTTAGGAATTAGTCTTGTAAGAGTCAAAGCTACATTTCTGACTCTGAAGAGCAGAATGCTTCATACTCCCTATGGGGATTCTCAAGTGTTAGGTGTTGCTTACCAACTCTCTAGCATTTATAACTCTGCAGCTTTCTTCACAGTTCATCTTGTGGATGATAAGAACTTTATTTCATTGTGACAAATGCTACTGAGAAGGTGACTAACTGCTAATGCTGGGAATGGCTTGTAGTAGGAAATGGAAAAGTTCTCATAAAGAAAGAAAATAGTGGGAACTGAAAAGTTTTAGTAAAGCAAAAAAATAGAAATTTTAAATAAATGTAAGGAGCTGGTGAATTTGGCAGTGGCTAGAATCTGTGGTTATTATGAGACTACTCTATACTCATTCTATAAATATTTGCTAAGCATCTACTATATGCCAGAGGTCAGTTATGGAGTGATAAAATAGACAGTCTTTGGCTTTCAAGCTTATAGTATCTGAGGGGAACCCAGGCAATAAACAATAGCCCAGTAAAATATCTGATAGTGAAAAAGGCTGGGCACTAGATGAAGATGGAGTGATATGATAGAGATGGCATGGTTGTTTTAGATTTGGAGGTCATGAAAAGCCTTTGTTTAGAACTTAGCATTTTATCTGAATGACAAGGAACAACCAGCCTTGTGATGAGCAAGGAGAGGAAGAAAAATAAATGCCTTAAGTATTTACTAAGATTGCTTTTCAATGACACACAAAGAATTTGGCTTCATCATATTATTAATCATCTCATACATTTCCTCATGTAAAGATTATCCTACCTTTGTGTAACTCTTCTAAGTAAACATCATTAATAACTTGCTCACAGTTTATATTGTTTTCCTTTGAATTAAAGTTAAAATAATTATATTTGCCTTTCGCTTATGATCTCAGGGTGGTGTTATTACGTCTGACATGATTGAAATGATATTTTCTAATAGCCCAGAGCAACAACTTTCAGCAACACAGAAATTCAGAAAGCTGCTTTCAAAAGGTGAGTTCTGAATGAGAAGTTGATTTTTAAATTTATTTACAAAATATTACTTTCCCATAATCTATTTTTCATACCACAGACAACTTGCTTTGGAGTATGTCTATCAAGAGAATAAAGGGACACATACAGACATATGTATAATTGTTGAACCATGGCTGTCTTTTGAATTTCCTTTGATGTAGGCAATCTTACCAGGATCAGAAAGCAGCATTCTCATTTCTGAGCTATCTTAAGAAAGACCTTAAAGTGATAACAGTGGTAATATTTCATGTTAATTCAAATTGAGAAACTCCACTCTTTTTTAAGAAAATCTTTAAAAATATCACTTGAAAGAGCAATGATTGTTGATTGTAATGTTAGTGGTTTATCACTGAAATTTTACTGAATTCAGCTTTGTTTGGTGGGTAGGGTAACTTCCTTTTTTTATATAGTTAGGGTAGGAATATGATGCTTCTTATCCTGGGCAAGTAAAAAGAACTCTGAAACTCTGGACCATATTTAAACACTGATAGTAAATACTTAAAACAGCTAACCCTCACCCCCTATCCCCAGTAATAAGTTATGGTTGTTTGGAGTCATTAGTGATAAATTAATAGATCCCTTGAGGTTAAGTGGAATAAAAACCTACCACCATACAAAAAATTGTTTTTTTGCATGACAACTTACTAAATATTTGAAGGCCATTATCATGTATACCATTCCCACCCCTCTAAAATGTCATCCCTTTTCAGCATGCTGAGCCTAATGGGTTTCTCACCTGATGTGGCTTTTTAAGCCCTTTCACCACTACTTTGCTGCATGTGTTCTAGTTTGCCAGCCATCCCTCTTAAAAATGTGGTAACTACAGTACAATACTCCAGATGTGTTCTTACTACAAGAGATTGCCTTCCTGTCCTGAGACTGTGCATCCCAATTATGTGCTCCAAGATAGCGTCATTTAGTTTGGTAGTCATGGCATATAGTGATGGTACATAGTATTTGCAGCAGTCTAAACTCCCTAGCACTTTCCTTCATCAACTGTTTTTAGGTTTTGTCTGTGAAGTCTTGTGGATTTTTTAAAATTGCTTTCTTAAAAATTCAATTGCTGAAGTTTGCTTTATCTTCAGTTTGCTTATGTTGTTTTATTACGAACTTTGGCTTATTTTTCTTTCTTTATGTTGTTTCTATAATCTAGCATATTAACTAATTCATTTTTATTGTAATCACTGAATTTATTTGTTGTGTTTATGTGAATAGTTGATAGTAAGATATTCTATTGTTATAAATGAAAATGAGATTAATTGGCAAGTCATCCTTTGTGAATTCTTGGTTGCTCACTCTTGTCACTAAACTGTAAAAATAAATCCTGCAAGCACATTCAGAATCTCCTAATCCGTTTTTTTTTTTTAAAGACAATTTATGTTTCAAAACTGACAGACTTAACAACCCATACACAGAGAAAGGGCTAGAAGGGAGTATACCAAAATAGTAACTGGTTGCCTTTGGATGTTTCCCCCCCACTTTCTAAGTTTTCTGAAATAATAGAGGCAGTAGTTTTAATTTTTAAGAATTCCAGCCTTCATGTTAAGGTTTATCTTCCTGTGAAACCTTTTCAAGCTACCTTAGTCTCAAAGTGACCAAACAGAATTTTATATATTTTTTTTCTTTTTTAGATTTCCAACAGTGAAAGATGCTAAAATGGAGGGAGGGATATTATGAAGTAAGTTTGAACTATAAAGTCCTTGCATTGAAATCAAAGGATTGTTTTTCTTCTTTCCTTTTATTTTATGGGGAGACAGAACCCAATCCTCCTATTGATGAAGTCATCAGCACACCAGGAGTAGTGGCCAGGTTTGTGGAGTTCCTCAAACGAAAAGAGAATTGTACACTGCAGGTGCGTATCATTTTCATTTCTTGACTTAAATCTTAATTCCCTTTGCAAATTTACATTTTATATACAGATTTGTCACTAAATTTAATCTGTACAGTAATTTTTGATAATCATGTTCCTGACAAGCACATTGTAAGCTGCTTTGATAGTCTTGTTACCATCCAGATCCTTGGTTTTCACTCTAGAATTCTCACCATTTTTAGTAATAAAGTTTACTTTATGGTGACTATGGGTAATACTTACCTAATGGAGAATTGTTTGTAGTAGAGGAACCATTATAGATTGGATCTAATTATGTGCTATGTGTGAAATTTAGTTCTGAAGGATTTTTAGATTATTTGTTGGCTTTCTCAGGGCTGTGTAATATGAACTAGATCAGACTCACTAATCCCCAAACCTGGTCCTAACTAGTCCTCCCCTCTGCCTCATGAGCTGACAAGGAGATAACCTTGTAGGAAATCTCTGTGCCTTTTGCTATGTTAACTTAGTCTATTAATACTGTATTATCTAGGGATTCCAGGATGGAATTCTGGCATGGATAATTTTCACAGTAAAAAGAACCAGTCGTCAACTGATTTATCCTGAGAGTTATCTAGAAATTTTAAAATGCTATTTTTTTTCCAAATAAAGTTGAATTTTTAGGACATTGATAATCTTTCAGTAGCTAGAGTTGTAACCAGCTGAATAAATTTCTCTATTATTCTTGAACAAGTATCTCTGATACCTAAATTGTCACTTGTAGGATCTATTCTGAAGAGCTCAGACCCTTTAGAGAGAGACTGCAACTATAAAGATTGGTTAGGTGCCAAGCAGATCACAAAATGGGGTTATTTCCCCAAGTAAATATTTGCCAATAGCAAGTTAATCTTAAAGATAACTATCACCCACTTGTTTGCTTTTGTCTTACTCTAAGGCTATAGGGACTGGACATTTTTGTAAATGACAGCAACCCCTGTCCCCAGGTTCTTTACTGTACAGAGCATTATAGGTAATTTAGGAGACTAGATACTTTGTCTTCATATTTTCTCTCCTTTCCTCTCATCCCATCTTTCTCCTTCTTTTACTCTCTTTGTTCCTGTGATGAGTTCCTTCCAGAGGAAAAACAAGAAATCCAGAAAAGGTAGAGTACTTCAATGTCCCATCACTTTTTCTTCTCCAGTTTGACATTTACTAATCCCCAAGTTCATTTGAATTAAGATTCTGTTTTGCTAGCTGCCTCCTGGATTGTAATTCTGGTCCCCATCTAAGGCCAGGATCATCAGACACCTGAAAAGACAATCAAGTTCACCTAGAGAGCAAGGCAAAGAGAGACTTTTCTCAGAAAAAAAGAAATCCAGACAATCAGCACTGCCGAGGACACAGCCTGAACTCCTAAGCAACCTGCCAAGAAAACCAGAGGGACCAAATGGAGAGCTTTACTGCAGTTTATCATTTGAAAAGCTTTGTAGGAAGAGGGAGGTAGGGAGAGTTATCATTTTGTTCTTGTGAAAATACCTTTCTATCCTGAGTAGTTCAGAGATAGTGGATTTGCTCCTGTAATCTAATTCTAATTTAATAGGTGTGTGCAGAGGTCCAGTTCCTTATTAAAGAAAGATGGTATAACCTTGTAGGCCTAAAATGAAGAAAGCTAGAGAAATGGGTCTACTCATCGCCACATTCTCCAGGACACTCCCTAGAGTCCAGGATGTTCTCTCAGACAGTGCCCTCTCCTGGCTAACATATGTAAATTCTACGTCATTTTTGATTCTGTAATCCTGGAACTTGTATCTCAACACATCTGAAGATGAAAGCCTTCAGAACTCTGTAGTTTACATACATCTAAATTCCCAGATTCCACCCTTATGTATATTAATAATTAAGCCAAAAGATTGAGAAATGATTCCTCTGGAAGTGCCTACTTCATGATTTTCACCTTAGCTGTCTAAGACTCGGAAATAACCAGTCTGTTTATTACCTAAAGGTCAGCATCCCCAGCTTTTCTTCTGTGTACATTTAAGTACAATATGATGTTCTTTCTCCAGTGTGACTAATAGGTAACCTTGACTACCAAAAGCAGGAGGAGCAGGTAGATTGAGGGAGACTGTAGAGCCAGGAAGCTTCATGCTCAAATAATGAGATGTACTCTGGGAAGCTTGGAGAGTATTCCTTTCTCCTCTTCTTGGAGAGCACTAAGATGTAAGTTGTCCCTGATAACTCGTACCCACTTACTAGAAATTTGAAGAGGGTAACTTTGTAGTGGTGCTTTTGCCATTTTTCTTCCAGAGAGTAATACTATAGTTAAACTCACTTATACATCCTGTGGAGAGACTTAATCCCATCATTCCATAGATAAAGAACTGTGAATCCTAATGAAGGGTCTCTTCATTTCCTTTCTGGCTTTTCTTATCCACAAATCAGTGAGGTACCTCAGACCAGAAAGAGAAACATGTCTGCTTTGGGCAGTGCAGCTCAGCTATTCACTTGCCCTCAAATGAGGTGAACATGGGTGCAATATAGGATTTGGAAGCAAATAGTGCTATGCCACTTTAGCTAGGAGCATTCTCAAGCTTGGTGACACATAAGCCTCAGAAATGCTTGAGCCCTTGACATGAGATTGGTATGCTTGACAGAAAATTCCCTGCGCTCACTGTTTGTTTTTTTGAGTCCAGACCCAGCATCATTGTACTGTCTTTTACAGTGCTGAGATGGTGTGTTCCCAAACCTTCTTACAGAGGTTTATAAAAATAGCCAGAAATAAGTAAATTGCCTCATTAGACAGCTGTTCTTAAAGTTGTGAATTTGAATTAAATTGTTTTAGTTTCCCCATTCCTGCCTTTCTTGTCCCCTCTAAAAGCTTGAAGTGTGATAAACTGCAGTAAGCCCTCATCCTCCTCCATCTTTTCCCATTCTCATTGATTCCTGCACCTTTCTTGAAAGGTTGCTCAGGTGACTCAGGCACTGTTCCCTGCAGAGTCTGATATCTGGGTTTATTTTTCTGATGTGAGCCTTTTTTTTCACTTGCTCTCCAGGTGAGCCTGGCATTTGCTAGGAACCAGAGTGGACCCGGCAAAGTGGCCAGCAACAGAGTCCTGATCCAAATGGAGAAAGGGAACCAGGCGTACCTCAACCTGGAGTGGGAAACTTGATAGGAGGTCAGAAGTACTTCAGCTTTGGATTCTCATTTTCCTTATTTAAGGAACTGAGCACCAGAAGGTAGAGACTGAGAAAGGGAAGAGAGAAAACATCAAATTTTCAGTGTTCCCTTCAGATTTCAGTTGTAGCCTTATTTAGTGAGTTTGTGGAAAGTGAAAAATAATAGTGGAATTACAATGTATAAGCAAGCGTGGATGCATGACAGGTTGTTTCCTTGCATAATGCCATACTTGAAACACTAAGAACACAGGAATTTAAAAGAACAAAGAGGAAGTAAAGGTCGTTATTTTGGCTGTCATTTACTGCTCCAGGTGATACCATTTCTTAAGATTTTTTTCATCTCTTTATGTTACTGATTTTTTTCTTGAATTGCGTGGTTGCTTAAATTACTTTTTCTGGCCATATCTATCATAACTTCATGTGGTTGTTTTTGCTGTCAACTCAGGGCTCCCTCATTTCATGACCCTCTTTCATGTTAAATTCTAACTGGGGCCCAAGGCCAAAACATTAGAAAACAAAACAAAACAAAACACCCACAAAAAAACCCACTGCAATACCCAGTGAAAGAGAAGTTAAATAGTTCAAAGTACAACCATTTTTATTTAAACATACATATTAAACACATTTGACAGCTGCTGCTTCCAACAGGTGCCTATACTCTCCCATCCTTTTCACTCTCCCATCCCCCTCCTTCTCTCTCACTCATACATAACAACATATCTCACACATACACACGTGGGTATAGAAAATTGCATAGATGTATCTTGAGTTTTTACAAGGTAAACATCAAAGTAATTACCGTGTGTGTGTGTGTGTGTGTGTTTTAATGCCTTATTTATTCATGAATGTGATTGACTTTTCACTGGCTGTGTAGTTATAGTTATTCATTTATTTCTGTCCCCAGTAATGGCAACTACTTTCGGATTTCTGTTCTTACCAAGAGACCTTGCATCTTCTTTGCTTTCAGAGGTTATCATTGTGTACTCTTACTGATAAACATAACTCTGGTGCGTTCTTTTGCTGAAATGTCGTAATTTCCAACTTTCTTCCATCCATGTTCAGCTTATTATTTATTTACTCTCCATTTTTGTAATCATTGTCAGTATTTTGTTTTGTTTCTCCATTTTGATTCACTTCAGCAGCATATGGAGTTCCCTCTCATTTCTTTGTGAGACCTCTCCAGACAAGTAGTTTGGACTTTGGCAGCAATAAGTATTCTAATTTCTTCTCCTTGATGACTCTTTATTCAGGTTACATGAGCATTTCTTTTAAATCAGAATCTCACTGCAATCCATTTTCTCCTTCATGTAGATTGGTGTTTGTGCAGATCTTATTTTTTATAGATTATTTTCCTTGTGATTTTCATTTCTCTGACTTGCTCTCTTTATTCTCTGACAACTTTTGAGTGAACTTTGATCCTGCTTTCTCATATGAATGTTTGCCTTTGTACTCACCCCCAGTGAGATTGATGATCTAGTTTTTCCTTGTGACAGCTGCCTTTCAGTTGACCCAAAGGCTTAGAAGAGTCACAGCTTCATCTTTTGATGACTTGTATTGATCTCTCATTCAAGAAGCATACCACTGAATTTTTTTTCTGCATATGTGCTTCATTAAAGGATAAGTAGAAGACAGAATGAGAGAAGGAAAACAAAACTAAAATTTAATTAAGAACTCAGCTAAATAGAATTTTCAGTGTTGATTCTCAGATTTTTCCTTATTAGGCTAAAGAGTCATGTTACTGTAGATATGGGTAGAATAAGTAAGGTGCTCTATTTTTCTTGGCCGTAATTTCTTTCATACCTTCTGTTTACCAGTTTATTGGCCTTTAAATCTTACCTCTGTGTCTTGGTTTGGGGCCTTCTCATTTATTAGAAGCTCTTATGCTTGAAAGTTGCCTTTTCTATTAATTGTATGCTTGTTAATTTCTTTTGGCCTACTTAACACTTAAAATATCTTTTGCCTTTTACTTTTGCTTGTACTTTATACATTTACAGTAATGTCCTCTCCCTTCACTTTATCCATCCTATAGGCATTATTTCATTTTGCTTTTATTAGATAGTATACATGGTTTAAGGCCAAAAGATACACAAGTCTTTCAGGGAGCAGTGTCTTTTCTTCCCATCCTTGTTTCCCATTCACCCTGACTGTTCCATGTAGGTAACAACACAATATTTAGAGTTTCTTGTGACTTTTTACAGAGATATTCTGTGCAATCAGTAAACTAATGCATATATTTCTTCTTAACTCTTCTAGACAATATAGTATGATGCCATATTAATGTAAACCATTTTGCTTTCTCTCTCTTTTTTCCATTCATATCTTGGGAGATCATTCCATATCAGCATATGAAGCACTCCCTCATTATTTTTTGGTTTTATGTCATCTGTACCTTGAACTGAAATTTTAGACAACTCTGAATATTCCTCTAGGCTGATGTAGAATTCTCCATTTAAAATTAATGTATAATTCACCTGATAGATATATGCAAATAATGATTTTAGATTATTTTCTTCATGTACAGAAAACCTTATTGTTAGAAGCAAACAAGCTATTAAATTCTAATAAGATAATGAAATTATTTTTATCTTTATAGTTTGAATCAGCTTGGGTACTGACAAATATTGCTTCAGGAAATTCTCTTCAGACCCGAATTGTGATTCAGGCAGGAGCTGTGCCTATCTTCATAGAGTTGCTCAGCTCAGAGTTTGAAGATGTTCAAGAACAGGTAAAAAATGAAACAGATAAGAGAGGCTCAGGAAAAAAATATCATTTTTCCCCTTGGTCTTATATTCAGAGCTTCAGTTTCACTACTTGGCCATATGATAATCCATGGTTTATCATAGGAAGTGGCTTAGAAATCTAAACTTAACCAAAGTAGAAAATTTAATAGTGAATCTAGGCGTAATTTTTCCTAGAAACCTAAATGCATTTTTCCCCTTCCAATCCTGAAATTCTTTTAGCCCTATAGGGGTACTTTTTAGACTACATAAGCAGTTACCAGCTTTTTCTTATAGGCATCTCTAGTGTGATTGAGGTAGCAGGTGTTTGCCAATTTCATACAGAAAAATACCTAGAAAATATGAATTTTTTATTGTAGTGAACTTTATCAAATCAGTATGATGTTCTTCTACAGCTCTCTTGAGGTATAATTGACCTGCAATAAACTGTGTATATCAAATTATACAATTTGATAAATTTGGGCATACATATATACCTATGAAACCACCATCACAATCAAGATAATATATCTATCACCCACAAATGTTTAATAAATTTCTCTGCATTTTGCTTGCTCTTAAATTCTTTGTTCACTGTTTTCTTTTGTAAGCAAGCTTAAAATCCATTTTTAATCAGCTGAGTTAAGCCACTTGAAACTCGGCTTTGTACCAAGGCTATATGGAATGTTACCCAGGATTGGAGTCCCCTAAGGTTAAGAATATGTGTAAGAATGGTTTCTCTCTTTAAAAAGCTTACTGCCATAAGTGTTCACCTATACATTTAATGTTATTTATCTGCTTTTCCCAGTCCCACTATTTCATTTGATTCCCTCTAGAGTGAACTTAGGAGTGTTAATAGTTAATATCCATGGTTAACTACTGTATAATTTTATAAAGAGCTATTGTGATATGCTGGCATCTTTCTTGAAAGAGCTATGAGTTAAAATTATACAGTCTGTCACTAATGAACAATTCTTTCACAGGCAGTCTGGGCTCTTGGCAACATTGCTGGAGATAGTACCATGTGCAGGGACTATGTCTTAGACTGCAATATTCTTCCCCCTCTTTTGCAGTAAGTCTCTTAATTTTTTTTATTTCTATGTTTATTTTGAGTAATAAAAACACGGGCAGTTCTGCAGAGAAAAGTGCATTTTTGGAAATTGTTCAGATTTCCTAGTGTTATTTTCATTACAGATATTTTCTCACTAACTTTTTCAGTTATTTACTTCAGGCATCTTTTCTTATTCCAGGGCCAAAATTCTGAATAGTTGTGTTAGAATTAATGCAACTTTATTTTACTGGAGAAAAGCTATTTAAAGATACCTGTTTATTAATAGCAATTTCCTATCAAAAAACCTACCAGTATTGTAGGATTAGCATTTATCTTACGCCATTAGAGCATTAATGTCCATTATATAGCTTACCATTGTATCTTCATGCTTCTAGGTTATTTTCAAAGCAAAACCGCCTGACCATGACCCGGAATGCAGTATGGGCTTTGTCTAATCTATGTAGAGGGAAAAGTCCACCTCCAGAATTTGCAAAGGTAAGGTACTATTTCCACTCCTCTGACACCAAATATTATTCCCACTCCTCCAACACCAAATACAATGGTGTATTTTTTTCCTACATACATATATATATAACAATATATATATAACAGTAATGATAATATACACAGCAGTAGTAGTAATATAACTCCATTCAGGCTCCTGGACCCGATTCCAATGTGTGTAAGTATGTGGGAGGGCATCTTCCCATGTGCAACCCCAAGCAATTCTCAAACACCAGCAGAGTGTCCAAAAACTCAACTCAATTCTGATGCTATCCGCCCAGACACAGCACCAGATTCCCCAAGTTAAGGGCTCCGTCCTACAAGACTGCCCTCCACCCCCTACTCCAGACGTGGGTCTCAAGCCCTTACTTGTGCTTCTTACCTACTGATTACAGATAGGAGGTTCCAATGACCTCCCCCTTAGGTTGGATTAATTTGCAAGAGTGGCTCACAGAACTCAGGAAAACACTTATACATGTTTACCAGTTTAATAGAAGATATACATTAACAGCCAGATGAAGAGGGGCATAGCACAAATTCCCAAATAAAGGAGCTTCTGTCATCATGGAGCTTGGGGCCTGGCTTGGTGGTGGAGGCATAGTTCTGGTTCCCCAAGCATAGAAGATCTCTCCCCAACTGAGAAGCAGGGTCCAACTGAGCAGAGCTGAGAGTGATAAGCTCCTCTCAGGGGCTTTTGTGAGGGCTTCAATGCATAGTCATGATTGACTTAATTATTGGCAATTGGCTAATTGAACCTCCAGCTCCTGCCCTTGGGTGGGGGTCCAAAAGTATCTCATAAACATGACAAAACACCCATTTCAGCCTTTAAGACTGCAGTGTTTTCAGAAACTGGATGAAGACCAAATATAAGGGGGAAATATGTGTTTGGTCATCTGAATGACTAAATGTGTATTTCTTATGACTCATTATATTGTATAAGGATTATGTTTGTGGGAAATTGGCGGAAAAAGTACAATTAAGAGAGCGTATTATTAATATTAATGTGAATAGAAAGATAACTTTGGATAGAATTTAAAATGTTAGAATTTATCTATTTCTAGAGAAAGAGGGCTTTTTCTTGTTTTTGTGTTCATTTGGGATAAATTTTCAATGCCTTATATTAAAAGCTTTGAATTAGTCTTACAACCCAGCATTTTTTTGTTCAAAAAAAGTATCTAAAATACAGAATTTCCTAGTTTTAGCACTTGTGAAATTTATTAATTTATTTGGTCCACAGAGTGTGTTTTGACAAAGCAATCTCACTCTGAGAATTGGCATACGTTAAACTTGGCCCTTGAAATTATTTTCCTTGGACTCTTGACTACCTCATTATGCCACTGACAGCATAACCAAAGATGGAAATGCCACACTGGCCACTTGCTACTCTTTCTCCAGAAGTATTAATCACCAGGTGTGTGCCTGGTTGCTTTCTGGAGTTTCTCCCCTCACTTCTGGCTTTTATTCTTTTGAATTTCATAATCATGTCATCTTCCCTTTACAGGTTTCCCCCTGTCTCAATGTCCTGTCCTGGTTGCTGTTTGTCAGTGACACCGATGTACTGGCTGATGCCTGCTGGGCTCTCTCATATTTATCAGATGGACCCAATGATAAAATTCAAGCAGTCATTGATGCAGGAGTATGTAGGAGACTTGTGGAGCTGCTGATGTAAGATAGCTTTAAGGAAGTTTGTTCTTTTATCTCTATGTTAGTTTTCTAGTAGCTGGTATTTTATATTAATTAAAATGTTGTACTGATTTATTGTGCTTTGGGCTGCTGTCTTTTGTTATTTGTTTATATTGATATCAAGTCTATTTGTTGATATTGAGGCCTGTAAAGAACCATTCACTCTTCTGTTCTTAGCAGTCCTTCAGCAGAAACATTTGGAAAACTGATCTGTGTAATCCAGCTCATGCTTAATGACCCGAGACCAGCCACTGGATAGCAAAAGGCATATTGCCACTGAAGATAGTTATTCCTTATATTACTGACAATTTAGAGCTTAATCTAGACTGGTATCAGACTTTGAATTTTATTTTGCTATACCTCTTTGTGATGCCTTTGATTTATGGAGTGGAATTTATTTATTTATGGCATAAATAATATGAGACTGTATTAATCAAAATTTTAGGTGATACTATAGAAGAAAAAATGAGAATGATAACATAAAGGTGAAATGGTAGTTAGAAACCATATGAAATTTCATTGAAGTAAGTGCAAAGTAGATGCAAGGAGACATTGCCCCAAAGGTGACATGTGGGATAGATTGGATAAATATAATGTACATAATACAAAATTCTGGGATTATAGCTGGCCACAGTGTGCGTACAGATCAGCAGCATAATGCTATTGTGAATCATAGTGTGATACTGCAAGAGTTGAAGTAAAGCATTTGAAATCTGGGAAGTAATCTTTTGTATTCTTTAGTATATTTTAGTCATTTCTCTTTAGTCATCAGATCTTAAAATAAATGTGAAGGAACTCTTTTGAGAAGAGTGAAAATAGGATTTTTAAGGCAAGTTAAAGGATATTAACTTATTTAGCCTGAAATCAAGTCTTATCTTCAAATATGTAACAGGTTTTGTTGGAGGGGTTTTTTTTGACCAGTAAGTTAGTTAGCTGAAGTTTAACAGAAAAAGTTCACTATTTGCAGTGTGAAGCCTGGCTCTCATTTTCAAGTAGTTCAACTGTTGACATATTTTCAACTATGTGAAAATGATACAATTTATAAAACTTTGAACGGCTGTACAAATGTTAACTATTCCTCTCCATTATCTCAGCAACCACAGAGACCCAACTAATGAGAAGTGAAAACTATATTAAAGAATGAGAGGGAAAACTTGGAATCTAGGTGATGGAATACCTGAAGAAGATTATTAGGAATGATATGTATTTTTTATTTAAAAAATACTAAATAAAGGAAAAAACAGCTCTTACAGGAGACATCAAACTTTACATCACCATGATAGGTTCCCTTAATAACCACCATAGGTACCTTTCTGCTCTAAAATCCTATCACACTGTTTGGTTTGAATTTCAGTCCTAAGGAAAGAGACTAAGGATAGAACTGTTAGATTTAACATTTCTTTTTATGGTTGCAGGCATAATGATTATAAAGTGGTTTCTCCTGCTTTGCGGGCTGTGGGAAATATTGTCACAGGGGATGATATTCAGACACAGGTATGAGTAAGTGCTAATAACTTTTTTTCCTTCAAAAATAGTACATTGAGCCCCAGGATTATGTTTCTCTTATTGCATTTAAATCTGTATTACTGGGGAGAACTGACAGTTTGTTTCACTAAAATCTGTTTAAATTTGGCTTAAACAACTACTTTTAATATCTTTACTGTCTCTGTCTTGACTTGTTGCTTGTAGCAGTTGTGGGTCACTCCGTGATGTAACTTACTTTTTGGTTAGTCATGTTTATTTCCCACTACTACTACTTGAACTGGTTCTTGTAAGCGCGGGAAGCCTCCAGTAGCATCCTTTCTCTTCATCTCATCTTCTCTGACAGCTTCCTTCTTTTTGTACATAGTGTTTCCTATGTGAAGAGGATTTTTCCTCTCTACTTCTTAATGTCGTTCTAATCTATGACATTCAACTTCTGTATCAAGATACATCATTCACAGAGAATTATTCTAGCCATTTTTCTTCTTGATCTCTCAGATGCATTGGTATCATCTTTAAAATGATCTTCCTAGGCTTCTGTAGGATGTGAAGTATTTTGGGTTTCCTGTCTCACCGACCATTTATTTCTCCTTTCCCTGTTCTTTCTGGGATTACTCTCTGAGGGGGATACTCATTCACTGATCTTATTTCATCCATCACCCTTGTGCACCCTGATTGAGAATTGAGAATTAGGTTTTAGCCTTAGCTCTTTCTTAACCAGCTCTGACTTTCAGCGAGACAGTTGATGTCTTCACTTTCTAATCTCTAAAATTAGGGAGATTGGATTTGTTCCCTCAGGTGTCTTCCAACTCTCCTTTAAATTTATTCTATGTATAGGTGAGCTCATTATTTTCCCTGGTATACTAAACCTCTGCTTATTTATATTCCTCATTTCAGTGAGTATCACCAACAGTTTTCCAAGCCAAAAACCTGGACATTAGCTTGATTCTTCCCTCTCCTCTACCTCTTGCATCAGTCACCAAGTACCACCTCTACTCAGCCGTTGCAGTGCTGAGTTCAGACATTTCATGTATCATTGCCATATCACCAGAAGGATGCTTGTGAAATGCAAATTTGGTCATCTAATTCTCTTAAAATATTTTTATAGGCCACCTATTGTCCTTTGAGGGTATTTAAGATCCTGTAAAATCTGGCACCTTTATAATAGGAATGCTGTGCAACAGAATGAAGAAGCTTTAAACACTGATATGGAAAAATCTCCAGGTTATGTTATTTAAAAAGAAAAACAAGGGGCAGAACAGTATATAGAATATATTGGGACTTGTATAAAAGAGGGGCAGGCAGAGAGGAGAAGAAAACGATAGGTATGTTTGTGTTTGTGTTAAATTTCTGTGGAAGGATACACAGGAAACATAACTGCCTATCTCTGTGGAGAACTGGGTGGCTGGGGTATAGGAATGGAAAGGAGCCTTTTAAGCTAATATAGTTCTTTTATATTTTCTGAATTTTTAAACCCTATCTGTGTAATTGCCACTTAAATCATCTTCCCATCCCATGCTACACTCTGTGCTTTTGCTGTGTTTATTCCTGGAGTTAGCTATGGCCACACTCAGCTCACAGCTTTGGCACATGCTTGCTTCCCTCTGAATGGAACATAGACCTCCATCCCCCATCCCTGCTAGAACCACTTCCTTATATGAATCCACACTTTGCCCCCAATATCTTCTCATTCTTCAGGGCTTGCTATTAACATTTCTCTGAGAAGGCTTATTTGCTCCCAGACTCTTAAGTTAGGTGCTCTTCTTCTGTTTCATCCATGTTAGTGAGTATCACACTGTATCTTGACTATTCATTTAGTAGATTGTAAACTTAAAGAGGGGGAATTGTTTAATCTTGTTCATTTTTGTGCTTCTGTAATCTTACAGTTGTTAGCAGAGTGTATAGGGAGGCAAACTATTTATCAAATGAAAACTTCTGCATCTCTACATCTAGTTCCAACCTCTCTCAAGTTCCTGTCCCTTGTCTCCAGTAGCCTGTTAGATGTTTCAGCTTGCATGTCCCACAGTTTTATCTTCTTCCTCCACAAAGCATGTCCCAAGTCTTCAAATTTCCTATTTCAATTAATGGTATAACTGTTCACCCACACTTGAAACTTTACTGTCATATTTGGTGTTTCCATCTTTCACACTTTGAGTAGCAGGTCATCAGGTCTTGTTGAGTCTTAGTGTTTCTAGATCCATGTCTGATTACCTTAGTTGTGGTCCCTGTTTTCTCACACACAAAGGTTGCTGATTTATCTTCCTTCTCTCCCAACACTTACCCTCTGTTTATTCTAATATAGCTTAATTTTTCCTAAAACAAACTTGTTTATATTACTTTGCTTTTAGAAACAGCTTCTTTAATGTCTATGAGACAAAAAACCTTGAAAGACTTGAAGGAATTTGTTACTTTAATATTTATTCTCATTTTTATATCTAGGCTACTGCTAATTTTGGGGGAACAGAACCCTTCCTTTAATAGCCTCACTGGTGTATTTTTTGCTTATTTTGGTACTTTGTGGTAGCCTGTCTTAGCAGTTTTTCATTTCCAGTCTTTCTGTCTGCTGTCCTCTTGCTTCTTTGCTTGTGAAATCCTATTTATTTCTAGGTGTTTCCCCACTCCCATGAAGTCATTTCCTTCCTGGTTGTTTCTTCCCAAGTATGATCTTCAACTTCTGACATGTTTATTCTAAACCACATCTTTGGCATTTAAAAAATTACTTTGACATATTCTGTACTATTAGAAAGATTGTACCTGTTCAGCCACGGCTTAGTTTTAGTTTATTTTCAGCTGTATTAGTAGGCAACATGTGGCTTCATTTCCTTTTGCATCTCTTTCATTACTTGTGAGGTAATTTTCTTATTACAATTGTAGTTTCTCTTAGCAACTTATATATTGTGGAGAGCAACCCTCTTATCTATTGCAGATATCATTTCACATTGTAGTGTGCATTTTGATTTTTGTATAATTTTTTGACAGGGCAAATTTTCTATTTGGTGATATTTTTATATTCCCCCTATAATTTCTTCCATTGTTTTTATATTTGGAAAGTCCTTCACTGTCCCCCAAACCAGCTATTTACTGATATTTTTCTTCTGTTTTGTGGTTTCCTTTCTATGTTTATTCTTTAAATGAGCTGCACATTTACTTTGGTAACTGGGATTAAGAATTGATTTTGAAAAATGTTTTTCAACTACTTAACCATTTATTCTAGCACTAGCTCTTAAATAAGACTCCCAGTCATTGGAGGAAGAGCAGATTAACTTTTTTATATATTTAGTTCTTTGGAAATATGTGCATTTGTTTCTGAACTAAATTATCTATTCTCTTGTTTGGGGATTGATTCTTGAGCTTGCCACATATTATTTTAATCATTATATGTCTTGTTTATCTTTGTATACTATAAAGCACCTGGTATACTTGATTAAGTATGAATTGGTTCATTAACTACCAGGTAGAGAATTATCAGATGATCTAATAATCTGAGACCACTTTTGAATTTTCTGGGTGCTTGGTATGTTTACCCACCCAAAAGACATTTTAATGTGCTATAGGGATAGGAATGTGAATGACTAATATATTATTGTGTCTTATTAAGTACAGTTGTTTTAGCAGTTGTGAATATGTATAATGAAACTTTCTGATAATCTTAGAAACTAGTTCTTATTAGCAGTGAATAGTTTTCTACATATATAAAGTTGTTTCTAAAATGTCAAGGAGAGCCATTAATTCTTTGCCTGTATTTTCCCTAAAATAAAGTCTTTGAGTTAAAGATTACTTTTATTTGGGTCAGTAAAATAAATAAAATTTTCAACCTTTTTCTTTTAGGTAATTTTGAATTGCTCAGCTCTGCAGAGTTTATTGCATTTACTGAGTAGCCCAAAAGAATCTATCAAAAAGGAAGCATGTTGGACAATATCTAATATCACAGCTGGAAATAGGGCACAGATCCAGGTAATCTCATAGCACCTGTCTTTTTTCTATATTTTTATTGATAATTAAGGTTTCTTTTCAATCAGCCTTTAAAATTATGTATGTATTTTTTCATACTGCCTTGGACACCACTAACTTCCACTGTTGTTGTTTTGCTTAGTCTACTTTTCGATGCTAACTTATAGAAGTTGAGTCTTTTGAATCTTACACTTAGGCCTTTTTAGTTTTTCCCTTTGCCTTTAATATTTGATTATCTGCCAAGACCCAAGAAAATAATGTCTAGTATTTTCAAAACATTTTGATGGACTTTATGCTGAACAGATTGGCTTTACTCTTTCCAAGTAAAATATTTATATTCTAGTGAACCCCATATATTGGATTGTTTTAATTTTTCATGAGCCCTTGGGGACCCATTTTTCTCTAAATGATTATCCGCCCTTTACTTTTGTCCTTGTATTAGTGGGAGAGTAACCCAAGTATAAGACAAACAGTGAGCCAAATGGTTCAACATAGGCCATGAGAAAGACTGGAACAGCTGGTTAGAAAAGATACAACACAGACTTATGGGACTTTGAGCTGAGTGGAATCATAGAGGTCAACTCATCCAACATTCTCATTTAAGGATGAAACTGAGGCTCAGAGAAATAAAGTGATTTGCTCAATGGCACCTCAAGTAATGACAGGGCCAAGATGAAGTGTCTTTCCAGTAAACCTCGCTGACTTCCTTCACTGATGGAATAGAGTTCTTGACCAGGGAAGCACGGTTAGTCATACCTAGGATGCTGTCGGACCGAGGGACCGAGGATGATAGCATAGCAGTTTACAGCATGCATATGAGGCGAGTTCAGCTGTGGTGATTGTCACCACGTGGTTCTTAGAACTTCACAGTTTGTTGATACAGTAAATTATACGAACCCACTTTGTTTTTGCATTAAGGAGAAACAGGATGATAGTAATTTGAGGAAGATTGCTTTAGTGTTAGTATATAAGAGGGTTTGAGTAGAAGTACTCTGTCCAGCTGAATACTATTCTGGTAATCTGTGTGGGAGGTGGTTGGAATAGGATGGCAGCAGTGTTAAAGGAAAGGAAAAGATGGACTCAGGATATTTTAAATTGAGAATGTAAAGGAGACTTGGTGACTAAGTTTGAAGAAATAAGTAAATACTAAAAGAGCTGTTGTAGAACTAGAGAAGTTTGGAAGGAAACCTGATAAGGAGGGCAGATGATATATTTGAGGTGATTAGCAGATCTGTAAGTAAGCTGTTGGCCACCTCAGCTAGGGCAAGCCCATGAGAAATGAGGACTGGAGAGTTACAGCACATGTCAGAGTGGGTGCCAGAAGAGAAATGAGCATAGCAGAGGAACAGAAGGTTGACTTTAACTATTTGCTGTTGTGATAGAACAAGAGAGGACAATAAAAAAAGAATTCAGGGAGAAAACTGTATTTTAAGATTGCAGACTCCAGGGAGGGTGTTATCAGAGATATCAGGGCTATACCAAGTATAGCCAAAAGGTTAAGGATAATGCAGATTTAACTTCTTACAGTTATTTTTAAATGGGGGAGGGTACCATTAGTGAAGCCAGCTTAGAAGTGATAATATCATGAACATTTTTACAAATCTTGTAACTTCCCTTTCCATTTAATTTTTTTTTGACTTCAGACTGTGATAGATGCCAACATTTTTCCAGCCCTCATTAGTATATTACAAACCGCGGAGTTTCGGATAAGGAAAGAAGCAGCTTGGGCCATCACAAATGCAATTTCTGGAGGGTCAGCTGAACAGATCAAGTAAGTATTAATCAGGTAGGGTCTTATAAATAAAAGGAAAAATTAATGTGTCTGCTAGTTAAGAATGCTCAATTCTAGCCGCTTGAAGATTGTACTCATAGTTAGACTCAAATGTGCATTTAACTTCTTATACTGCTCCCACTCTCTCTTGCTGAAAATAATTCTAGGATATAATAAATAAGGCATAGTTGAGGTTTGTGGCCATAGAACTGTTTATAGGGGTGGCTTTAGCCTACTCTGGAGCTACTTGGTCAGAAACTTCTTGGGTAGTCTAGAAGGGTACTTCTAGAATTCTTAGAGCTAATAACTTTAATTGCTAACCCTTGTTATTTTTAGTTTAGATGTCTTACTAGTATAACTAGACCAGACTTGAAAGGTATATTCTTAGAATAAACTGCCAAATTCAGTAGAGGCAGGTGTTTCCTAAAGTACTGCTTTTCAGTAATTGGAGAGTTCTGTTACAGGTTGAGATTTATTAAATAGCCCCTTGGGAAGCAGCTTATAATCCTAAAGGCTAGAGAAGGCATAAATGGGGATAGGAATCAGTCAAAATTATGGATATCCAGTATTTCAGATGGGAAAAAAAAAGAGTAATAATAAAAAGAAAAATGGAACCTAGACTTAGCTGGCCTTTATGGGAATTCAGATGAGAGGAAGATAGTTTTGAATGAGTGTTAAAGCATTAACCCCTTAATGTAATTTTTGGGAAATAACTGCTACTTCTCATGTTGTTGCTTGTGGGTTAAATGTAGGCATTCAACCAATGCTAATTTTTAGTGTTCTGTTGGGAATTTAGAAATGAAAATGCAAAGTGGTCCTTATATTTTAGAAATTGATCAGGTACAGAGATATGGAGTATGTACCAGAAATAATACAATTTGAATAGATTAACAAATGCAATAGTTATTTCAGTAAAGTTCATCGTAGGTTATTCACAGAAGACTTCAGGGGGTCTTCAGAAGCCTACTTGTATGAGATTAATTCTTTTTCAACCACGAAGAATTTGTTTCTGGGGAACTATGATTCTAAGCATGCCACCACCAGATGGCAGCAACATGAAGTAATGTAGAAGTTATTAAAAGAGTTGATAGTCAAGTTTTCTGTTCAAATTCAGATTTATAATTTATTGTCTCTACATTTTACACCAGATATATTTTCTTAATTAAAGTGGTTAAACTGTACACACACTTTTTAAAAAACATTTCTAAAATACTGTGATATCTTCTCATCAGAAAGTATTCAGGGATATTTTTTTCTGTTAAGAGTAGAATGGCTCTCTCCTTTCTTAAAATTCGGTATAGCTATTTGTAATAATTATCAACCCTCATAACAGTTTCTTCTTAACCAGATGAGGAGTTTTCTTGAGAAACTAATACAAAAATATTATATGCCACATTAAGAAAATAAATTGACTTTATCACTGATAAAAGTTTTGTGGCTTCTGCTTATTTTTTTGAGACAAGATTTAGATGCAAGAACTACTTAGGAAAACTTAGGAAATATTCATTATTTAGATTAAATAAAAATCAAATGCTAATACATACAGTAGTTTTTAAGAAAGGGATAAAGAAATGTTTGAAATTAGAGAAAGTTTATGAAAGAGATGAAACGCCATGTGGGTAGAGATTTGGCTATTTTGAAGTAGGGAGGGCAGCACAAGGAGAAGAGTGAAGGGATGTATATCATAAATATATTTTTGGAAGAGACAAATCAATCTTGGTATAGTTTATTCTTTAGCAACGATGAGGAATTAAGTAATTGGTAGACGTTTCGAAAACTGGGATGAAGGCCTTAGTCTGGATTTTGGGAAGACTTGGAGCATCTTTAAACTTTGGAATAATATGAAGTAGTTTCTAGAGAGAAGAGGGCAATTAAGATGCCGTTGGAGTGGTTAAGTATACAGTGACAGCCAGGATTAAGATATTAACTGTAGCATGAGTTATGGGAAAGGAATCTGTAGCACTTGGTGACAGGCTTTAGTTAACAAAGGAAAGGAAAGGGAAGAGCCAAAGATGACTTAGGGAAATGGTGTTGCTCTTTATAAAAATTAGGATATACAGGAAGCAAAATCCTATATGAAGGAGATGATTTTAGACACAGTGAATTTGTTGCCCACCTAAAGAAATCTGACTTTATCAATTCAGTTTCTCAAAACCCACTTTCTTCCATTCTAGAGTCTAGATTTCTTCCCCATAAGTTTCTCCTTCCCAAAAGAACTCCTAAATTATAGCTCTCTCAGGTTTGAAATAGTAACATAATTTTGAGAAATATAACTCACTTTTCCAGATAATGTGTTTTTCTGGACTAAATTTTCCTTATCCAGAATATTTTAATAGCTACCTTTTTGGCCACAAAAGACAGCTAGCATTGATGACCAAGTGATCACTTTATCCTGATGGCTCAAAGTATACCACCTATAGGAACCACTCCCAGATTTTCATCAGAAAATTTTGATTGTTTTCCAGTCCTCTTTTCCTCTTTTCAAGTCTTCAAATTTCTGAGGAAATATTCCTTTATGTAGTGCTTTTCTCAGAATATTACAGCTTATCCGACCTACACAATCAAGGTCTCCTGGTCACCTGTTTTGCAACTGTTATTTTTGGTGCAAACTGTTAATTTTTGGAGAAACTTGCATCAGTAGTGAAGTACAACCCTGGTGGTCTTTACTCTCCAGAGATGAGTGGTTGCATCAGAAAATACCACCTTAAATTCCTGATTTTGTAAAGTGTTTAAGAAATAGTATCAGCTAACTGATTGATGCCATAATTGATGTAAAAGCAGAGCTTTTAAGTATATAACATTCTTGAAAGGAAAGCTGCCATTTGCTCTGTTTGCCTATTTCTAGTAAACTGTGTTAAAATAATTTAAATAGCTAGCACTGGGAACCCCAGAACTCATTAAATGCATTGTGCCAGAGTACAAAGTACTGATATAATATTTTGCATATAAAATCTCGTATCTTCAAAAACCTGGATTCACTTATTACCTCATTTTTGGTAGAGTTTTTTATAAGAAATTTTTGATCAGTAACCTTACAGTTTATATTTAAATTATTCATTTAACTAATTATATACACGTTCTAGAAACTCTCAAGCCACCTTAAAACTTGTTTTTATTCCTCAAACTATGTAGTATTGTAAAACTAAGTGAGCTTTTTAAAGGCAATGTAAGGATTAGAGGTCATTGAGCCAAGATCTCAAGTGAGGAGAAGACATCACATCAAAAGCAGACCAGGAACAAGTTTGAAGACAATCTGGAGATTCTGAACAAGTCTCTGAAATACCAACTGGTGTCAATAGATATGTCCATACAGGACAATGATGTGTAAGCCATGTGTTTAATTAACAAATTAAAATTCTGCTGCAGTTGAGTGACAGACTTGTTAATTTTTGGTTCCCAAACTTTTGAATTTGAGGAATGCAAATTTTTCCATTGAGGAAATGGAGACAGAGTCATCCAGCTTATATGTAGCATGGCTGGGATAAAATAGTGGTGCTATCTCTGGATACTTCCTATTTTTCTTTATACTTTTCTATGTTTTCCAAATTTGGAAATTCATTTCTTAGTAATAAAGCTAAATATGATAGAAACTACTTAAAAAAACTAGAGCTTTTAGGTTTACAGAAAAATTGAAATGGTAGTACAGAGTTCCTGTATACTTCCTCCTCTAACAGCATAGTTTACTCTGTTATTAACATCTGTCATTAGTGGGGTTACATTTGTTACACTTAATGAACCAGTACTATACATTATTAACAAAGTTTACAGTTTATATTAAGGATCACTGTGTGTTGTGCAGCTCTGTAGATTTTGATGAATGCATGATAATGTTTTCAGTCATTGTAATATCATACAAAATAGTTCCACTGCCCTAAAAAATCCTTCTCCTATACCTATTCATCACTACTTCCTTTCCCTGCCTCTCAAAACCCTGGCAACTATTGTTTTATTGTCTTTATAAGAGTTTTGTCTTTTCCAGAATGTCACATACAGTATGAAGTCTTTCAGATGGTCTTCTTTCACTTAGCAATATGCATTTAGGGTTCCTTCATGTCTTTTCATAGCTTGATAGATCATTTCTTTTTATGGCTGAATAATATTCCATTGTCTGGATATGATAGTTGAAGAACATCTTGGTTACTTCCAGTTTTCAGGAGTTTTGTATAAAGCTGCTCTAATATTCTTGTACAGGTTTTTGTGTGGATACAGTTTCCATCTCACTTGGGTAACTGTCTAGGACTGTGGTTGCTGGGTTATATGGAAAGCTTTATAAAGAACTGTCAAGCTCTTATCATATTTTGCATTCCCACCAGCAAAATATGAAAGTTCCTGTTGTTCCACATCCATGTCAGCATTTGGTATTGTCAGTGTTTTGGATTTTAGCCATTTTAACAGGTATATAGTGGCATTGTTTTAATTTGCAGTTCCCTCATGACTTAAGATGTGATGTCAAACATCTTTTCATATACATATTTGCCATAATATGTATGTTCATATCTTTTGCCCATTTTTAAATTGAGTTGCTTATTTTAGTAGTTTGAGTTTTAATAGTTCTTTGTATAAAATAGAATTGGCCTGTTGGGCCTATGCTGGCTTTATAGTACCAAAGAGTCCTGTTCCAGAGATGTTGTTACCTAAAGAAACAAAGATGAGATTAGGGAAAAGTATACTATTTCAATGAGTTGCTCCTATTCAAAGCAAGGGAGTATTTCAGTTTCTTGGAATCCAGTAATTGTGGGGGGAAATAAGAATAGAAATGGTGCCAGAGAACTGGTTTTGTTTAATTTTTTGTAGTTTGCTTTGTGATAAAGTGTAGCTCATATGGTTAAATGGGTGCATATTTTTATCTACAGTGAGTTTGAGGATGACCTTACCACCAATTTCCTATAAATTATGAAATTAAAAGTTTTGACTAAATTGTTCTTTGTATTAATAGGTACCTCGTAGAACTGGGTTGTATCAAGCCACTCTGTGATCTCCTCACAGTCATGGACTCTAAGATTGTACAGGTTACCCTAAATGGCTTGGAAAATATCCTGAGGCTTGGAGAACAAGAAGCCAAAAGGAATGGCACTGGCATTAACCCTTACTGTGCTTTGATTGAAGAAGCTTATGGTAAGATCAAGTGTTAATAAGATGTCCTGAAATTATTTTTTTCTTTTTCTCCTTGGTGTTCTGATCTTTCTACATCTGTCACTGACAGCAAACTTGTACGAAAATGTGTTCTCTTATGAATAATAATGCTTAGTATGCAGAACTGGAAATGAATATGCATTACAGGTGTGAAGAGAACAAGTACCCTTCAGTTTAGCTATTTTTACACTTGGCTCCAAGATTCTTCCCAGTTCCTTGACTGTTGGCCCTTGTGGATACTTTTGTATTCTTACTAGTCCGTCTGAGCCTCAGGAAGTCCACATTTCTGTAGGTGATGCATGACTGCTATTCTCTTGTAAGAGTCAGAGTTCTGATTTTCAGTTGCATCCCCAAGTCCCTTGTTCCTAAAGTGTTCCTGGCTCTAAAGGTTTCTAAGAATTTAAGCTTCAAGAGTCACTATCTACGTTTTGGTTTCCTCATTCTTCCAGTCTCAATCTTAACTGTACTCTTAATCATATATTGTGTGTTTTAATATTTTAAGTTCCTTAAGTGATTTTAATGTGTAGGCAGGGTTGAAAATCATTGTTCTAGGGTTTGTTTATTGCTGAGATTGGAATTAGGCATCATAGGGTACATTCATCTTCAGATTTATCAGATAAATGCAGATTGTTTTCCAGAATGATTTTAACAATTTACCATTAAAAAAAACTTGATTATACAAGATATACCAGCTTGGTATAAGAAATTTAAAAATGTTTAGTGGAGAAAAATACTCTTCTACCTGGACATCTTACTCCACAGAGATAACTGTTATTAATTTTGTAATGTATATATTTTAATATGGTGATGTATGTGAATATGTCTTTTTTCCTTTGAGCAGTGTTAGCATTTATTTAGTATTGCTGTAGCAGTTAGGTTGCTTATGGCTGCAAGTAAAAGAAAGCCTAGTTGAGATGAACTTATTAAATTTAATGTAGGGAATGTGTTGGCTAATTGTTCTAGTCAGACTTCTTAGTTTAAGCAATAGAATTTGATCCTGAATGGTTTAAGGATATTGATAATGCATATTTGTTGAAATGATATTGGATAGCTCAGAGCCTAGACCAAACCAGAGCCAGGAATAAATAAGGCCGTAGATACAGTCCAGTAGAAACACTATGCTAGCGCCTTAGGCACTGGATGACATTGTGACTGTTACAGAAATTGCTGCTTGTGGGGACTGGCTGTGGCTTGCCTATATGTTCAAAGTGTCAGTTTACACCACTAGTATTCAGATGTTATCCCAGCAATACTTTGTGTGCTTTTACAAAATACTTATGAGATGCAAGCAGAGAAAGGAACCTTCCTTTATTACATCAAGGAAGAAGATGGCAAAATATAATTGCATTGGAATTTCCATCAGATATACAACATATTGCCTTTGTTCTTCTTTCTAGGTCTGGATAAAATTGAGTTCTTACAGAGTCATGAAAACCAGGAGATCTATCAGAAGGCTTTTGATCTTATTGAGCATTACTTCGGGACGGAGGATGAGGACAGCAGCATTGCACCCCAGGTTGACCTTAGCCAGCAGCAGTATATCTTCCAGCAGTGTGAGGCTCCTATGGAAGGTTTCCAGCTTTGAAGCAATACTCTGCTTTCATGTTCCTGTGTCAGACCAGGCTACCCAGTCAAGTCCTCTTGTGGAGCCCGCAGTCCTCATGGAGCTAACTTCTCAAATGTTTTCCATAATACTGTTTGCGCTCATTTGCTTGCCTTGCGCACCTGCTCTCTTACACACATCTGGAAAACCTCTGGCTCTCTGTGGTGGAATACCCTTCTAATAAAAAGGGTAACCAGAACGGCCCACTCTCTCATGGAAAATCCCTAGGCTTTGGAGATCCGCACTTAAATATTATAAGAGTCATGGGAATATACACTTATTAATGTGGCTCCCTTTTTTTGTGGGGGAAAAAAGAGGACTCCTCCTCATTCCCTTTAAAGTGGGGAAAAATACTGATATTAAAAAGATGGGACTAAACCTTTATCTTGAATTTCATACAACTACTTGCAACAAGGGAGGTGTTTAGACCTGTTGTGTATACTTCAGAGTACTTTTCATGAGTTCTTCCACAGTGAACCCTTGGATTACCTGGTGGCTTTTTCTAGCCAAATTTGCATTAATCCTTACTGAGACTGGGATGGTTTCTTTCCTGTATTGGCGCCATTCTTCACAGATATTAAAGTTAAACCATCCGCTCCCTCACCTTCAGCCTTCAGTGAATGTGCTTTCTAGTTGTCAGGAATGCTGAAGAATTAACATTTTGACTCTTAAATGTGATACTGGTTTGAAGATTCCCTTAGAGCAGAAAGGAGAGGGGCACATAGTAATTTGTATGGCTGTCACTTCTCTTTGATCTTATGTGTTTTAGGATTTGGAAGTGGTTCAATTCTTATGCTGGTAAGAAGAGTTAGAATCCTTAGTAATGAAAACCATATCCTTAATTCAATAAAAAAGTGAAAACAAACAAAAACCCTTTGGTTTTCCCAAACTCAACCAGTGTGACGGAAAGGCTGTGTTTCTGCATTAAAACATGTTTCAGGCTTTGTGGTCCTGATCGAGGTCCTTACTAAATTGGACTTCACCCTAGGTGCTTTTCCCCTTTGTGATTGGCAGATAACATACTTTTAAAGGTTACTTAAGGAAAGTTTTTTTTCTTAGTTGGGTGAGCTTGATTCAAATGTAGTCATGCTGCATATATGATCCCTTTAATGTAGCATCCTTACCCTACATAACTATCTTCTCAACATTACCTGTTGAACCCAGATAAGAGCAGTGATCCTTTCTTATAACCTTATTGTTCCTTAATCATTTCATTTCATCTCCTATTAGTACTGCCCAGTCAAGTCTCCCCATTAAATTAAAACAGTTCCTACCTTCTGGCTCATTTAATGATGACTGCAATCTGTACCTGCAAATGGCGCTTCCAGTGCTGTCTTCGGTGATCTACATTTGTGCTTGGACTGAACAAAAAAATAAGCTTAAATTGCCAAGAGAACTGCAGCTGAGTTCAGTACAACTCCTTGGTGCTAGTTGGCCATCTTGACTCAATGTTGGGACACACTATCTGAGATTTTTTGTCAATGTGCTGTTCAAAAAGAATTCTGATGAAGGAAAAGTTCCTCACTTCTGTTTTAGAAAATACCCTTTCACACCTCTTTAATCTTGTCCTCTTCTAGCATTCATTTTAACCCCAAAGTGTAACTGTTTGGAAGTTCTCCTGACAAGTTATTATACATCTCTGGTAAATCCTGCTGAATGTTAGGGATATTCAGAGCTTTCATACCTCATCATGTTACTTAAGCAACCAACTTATGCGACCTGATTTAAAAAAATCCACTTCATTCAAAGTAGAAAGATACAAAGACAAAGGACATTTATCAGCCCAGCGTGTGATGCATTCTTCAAATCTAGTCTGTAGTTGTGTCTGTGCTCTGGATGGATACTGTCTGATGTCTATCTGTTACTGATGGAGCAGCCACTGCAAAACTAGTCAACGCCCTTCTATAACTGTTACTTTCTCTAGTGCTGCTTTGTGCTGAAAGAACATTTTAGTTTATTGCACTTGACCTGTAAGAGACTTTGATTCTTTGTAATTTTAGGGACAAATTAGGTGGTTAATTTAAAGAAAAACTTTCAATGTTGCCTTTACATTACATTAAACTAACTTCTTTCAGAAGGATAATAGAAGCACTGATTCATAGTAAAAACCTTGTTTTTAGCTTTGACTTTTTTTGTGGCTGAGTTTTTTAAATTGTAAATTACTGGTAACATCATTTCTCTAGGGTGTTTTAAATCATGTACCTTCTGTTGGATAGTTAAAAAAAATTACACTTCATTTTGATAAACCACTTTGAATGGAAAAAATATAAAGCACACACACAGTTGTTTCCCCACGTTGTTAGAATAGTATTCACTGAGAATTTTTGCTAGCAACTGCAGGTGTCTCAATGAATGAATTAAAACAAAGCCCATCTAACTATTGTGGTTTATTTTCTGTCTGAAATTATCTTGCTCCTATCCTATAAGTTCATGAGCCATAACTAGCTAACTTTTTTTGCAATAAATTGTTCTTTAGATATAAAATTTGGAATTGACTAAAAGCTAGATCTCAGTATACTGTTAGAACTGATGAAACAGCCTTTTTGGTAATGGAAATGACATTTTAGGAGGTGACTGTAAGTCCTTTTTTTAGTTCTCTGCTTGGGAGATTCTATTACTTCACTTTCAGTTTATTGACTACTTTGTGACTAAGGTGTTACTCATTACAAAGCATGTTAATTTCAACACAGGAAAACTTAGGCAGTTTAGTATGCTAATCAGGGGGAAAGTGGGTTGATTTTCCTTCCCCCGCCCCCCTTTTTTTTCCTGCTCCAAACTTTCAAAATTTTTTTGAAATGAGAACTTTGATGGGGAAAAAAACCTGAGTATTTAGGATGTAAAGGCACCTTGTACCTGAAGGGCCAGCAGGTAGATATGGTTAGATTGAGAAATACCAGGAAAGGTAGAGGTGATAAGATATGAAAAGTAGTGAGATTTAGGAGATGGAAGTTCTTCATGGAACACTTTAATTCATGTTCTTAAAAGTAATCAGGACCCTTTTAAACCTTGTCAGCTGTACTGTTTTTGGAAAGTATTGGCCTACAATTGTTTCTTAAAATCTGTTCAGATAAAGCTGGATGGGCTCTGGGTCATTTTTCATATTGTCACAGATATAAACATTGACGATTATCCCATAATAAATCTGAATTATTCCAGATTGTTGCTGATTTTGCCTAAGAAAAAATATGTAGTATATTTTATAAACCAAACTTTGTCAACTCAATTCTCTATTCTATGTGGCCATCCACAGGTAACTTTGAATTGACTCCTCTAGTGCTAAATAAACATATCAGCTAATTAAGCCCCCAGTTTGGGGTTGCATTATCAAAGGGTTTTATGCAGTTGAAGGATTTCTTGATTAGTTTTGTGAACCTTTTGTATCAATAGATGAGTCAGCTGTTTTAGGGCTTATGGCTTTTTGTATAAGAAGTGATGTCTAAGGATGATGTTCAGTAAAGAAAGGGATCCATTTTTAGAGAGGGGTATTATTTGCTTTCCATATTTATATACCACGCAAAATGTGTGCATTTGCAGAGATAGGCTTACCTGTTTATCAAAGTCTTAAGTCTGGATTTTTTGCCATCTGAAATTAACAGCCATTTTCTTTTGCTATGAGATGAGCAGAGTATCTGCTCAGTTGGGAAATATTTTTGGCTACCTTTTTGGTCATCAAAAGTTAAAAGTTATAAGAAAAAAAAAGTTTAATTGAAGACCAAATGTGGCACTAGTACAGTAAGCCGGCTCTAATATGAAGAATATTCTATAACATGTTTTGTCAGAAAAGGATAGGTAGTAACAGTGGCTACCAGGACATCAGAAGAAAGTGTGATAAAGTAAAATAGCACTATATACTAATTTTAAGATTATCAAATTACACTGGATATAAAATGCATCTGGAAAGTTTGGGGTAAGGAGAAAGGATTAAGTGTAGGTGAAATTCCATTCTGTTTTCAATTAAGGGTAGACAAGTAAGTCCCAGCCTGTTTTCCTGCAGGTCAAATAAAGGCAGCTAGTCTCTGTTGTGTGCCAGGTGCCTAAGGACTTTAACTTCTAGCTTCATCCTCCAGCTGCTCTTTGAGGTAAATACTTGTCACTATGTTATAGGTGACAAAATCATGACTTAGAGTTTACTTTGCCCTATGGTCACAACCCTTAGACAGTGTCCAAAGGTGGGGAAGAGCCTTGCAAATTGTGGGTCTAGAAGACAGACGGTAACAGTGGAGGTCAAGAAGTCTCTTAGAGCAGGCACAGCTGGGCCAGCTCGTTTTTCTTGGACCATTTTGACTCTTCCTCGTCACCAGCACCCAGTGACTCAATCCAGGTGTAAATTGATTTTGGGTTACATATTCTGGTATGTAGACCCTCAGCGCAAACATCTTCCCATAAAGTAGCACTAAAATTCTCTGATGACAAAGTTAAAAATATATGCATATGCAAATGACTGATTTTGAGTTAGTAGTATAATGGCTAAACTCAAACATGTTGCCATTCAAACTCACATGTAGAAAGTATTGACACAGAAGGAAAGGTTTTGGTGTGAAGAATACTGCCCTAGAGAGCACTTCCACCTGCAGATGTGAATTTCACACAGCTGACTTCCTAAAAGAATATCATCCAAGGAGTGTCCTAAGTTCAAAAGATCACCTTTTAATGTATATTGTTAAGTATATTGCTGCTTACTTCATCATTTTGACCACTTTATGTCCTTTTTCAAAGTGTTGGAATAGCTGTAATGATTTTACGTACCTGAATGGGGAGGGTCTGGTCAAGCCATGGGTGAGTGCCTGGCACATAGTAGGCATTCAATAACTACTAAATGAAGGAATATGCATCTATGTGATACTAGTAAAGGGTGCTTGGTTCCAAAAGAAAGTTCAAAAGAATTCCTTTATGCTGCTATCAGGGGACATAATTTGACCTGAAGTTTACAAAAGCAAACATGGTCGTACAAGAGGCCCATCATATAAAAAACAAAAAACTTAGGCCTTCTGAGAAGTGATTAATTTTACAGTATCACTAATTACAGTCAACCCATATGTTTGTTTATAGCAAAAATAGCTCATCAGTCATTTCTAGCATATTATAAAGTTAAAATTTTTTTTGCAAATTATATCAAATCAATGTGGAAGCTGGTTATTGCTATAAGCTTTTAAGTAGGGATCTTTCAGTTTTACATATATGTACTGCTGTATGGGAACATTTTCTTTATCCAGTCCTCCACTTAAAGTGACAGATCAGTAGAAACAAAGATTGTATTTCTTGATTCCATGATTACTTCTCTATTTTTGAGAGATTCCTCTGATTTTTTTCTGAAAAAATCTCAGCAAAATACAACCATAGTTTCTACAGACTACACTGTCATCTATAGTGCAAAACTGTTAGGTTTACAAGTTTATTAAAGTTAGCTTAGATGACTGTTGACCCTATTTCATTTGCCATTTCAAAAAAGTTACTGTTTTCTAATTTTAAAATCAATAAATGGTCATTTCTATAATACTGAATGTTTTTGCAAAGAATAAAGTTAAATCCCTTTATCTATATACTCATTTAGCCACCAGGAGTCCAGTGGGTGTCTCTAATATGGATCACTGCCTTACCGGAACCACTTGAGCGCAGCATTATGTAGAGTGATGAGTAAGGAGGAAACAGACCCAGAGGACCACAGTAGGGAGAACAGTCACTGGGTTTGAGAGCAGTCTGGGCACACTGGGCTTTAAGTTACCATATAAAATGCAGAATTTTCAAGATTAAATTGTGAGCATGAGGAGTCCTTGGGAAGTCGGCAGTGACATCGTAGTCGGCTGGAGGCAGTCTGTTTTTAGATCAGTTAACACCTAATTATTTTAGTGCCCCTTTGACTTTATAAGATCTGTCGGTTCAGTTAAGTTACAGTGTGACCCCAATCCAGCCAAACTGGAGTTTCATTTACTTGAATTGTTAGTGTCCTAAGCAACTCTACATAGTTCTATTCGTGATTTTTGAGGACTGGATTTGGTAATTGGAATTGCTATGAAAGGTAGCCAGTTAAGACATTCTTTAATGAATCAATTAAAGAGGCCATGGTTAGGTCTGATGCACATAACAAAAAAGGTGTTTTTAGTTAGAAAAAAAACAAGAAAATGATCCATTTGTGGCAACATTTCTATTTGCTGTACTTGCAAACTTAGAGGAGGCGAGTGGAAGGGGAGTAAATTTTTTTATTTTTTTAAATTTTGGTATCATTAATCTACAATTACAGAAAGAACATTATGTTTACTAGGTTCCCCCCTTCACCAAGTACCCCCCACATACCCCTTCACAGTCACTGTCCATCTGTGTAGTAAGATGCTGTAAAATCACTACCTGTCTTCTCTGTGTTGCGCAGCCCTCCCCGTGCCCCCCTACACACTATACATGCTAATTGTAATGCCCTTTCTTTTTCCTCACCCTTATCCCTCCCTTCCCACCCATTGTCCCCTTTCCCTTTGGTAACTATTAGTCCGTTCTTGGGTTCTGTGATTCTGCTGCTGTTTTGTTCCTTCAGTTTTCCTTTGTTCTTATACTCCACATATGAGTGAAATCATTTGGTACTTGTCCTTCTCCGCCCGGCTTAATTCACTGAGCATAATACCCTCTAACTCCATCCATGTTGTTGCGAATGGTAGGATCTGTTTTTTTCTTATGGCTGCGTAATATTCCATTGTGTATATGTACCACATCTTCTTTATCCATTCATCTACTGATGGACATTTAGGTTGCTTCCATATCTTGGCTATTGTTAACAGTGCAGCGATAAACATAGGGGTGCATCTGTCTTTTTCAAACTGGAGTGCTGCATTCTTAGGGTAAATTCCTAGAAGTGGAATTCCTGGGTGAAATGGTATTTCT